ATGCTCTTCAACTGGGGCAAATCTCCGAATTCTAATCTCTTTAGTTTTGGAAGGAGGAGTTGGATCATCCCTTCTGAATCCGATGCATCCGAAGGTGAGAGTAGGTATTTCAGATTTTTACAGTGATGAATAATTAATTTCGTCAGTTTCTCAAAACAAGATATGATCGAAATGTCCCATATGGTGGTAATACGCTCAATCGAGCACAATTGCAACTCCTCTAGCTCTGAGGTAGACACAACCTGCACAGGATATAATTCTTTTTATCACAACCTTATCATTTTGTCTATAGATAAGAAAAAGGATTATCATGTACATCTTGAGCCTCACCATACAAGTCAAAATGTGTCCTTCGGGGACTTTTGGTGGTAATTAAGAGGTTGAGGCATCACGCTGGAGGTTTAGACTCGAATCGATGAGGGTTATTCTCTGATTTGTAGTTTATTATTTCATTTTAATCATGTTGTTTGTTTTAAAGTTTTCAATAAAGTTTTTATTTTTATTTTTGATTAATTAAATATATTTAATTTTTTGTGAAATTGTATAGTAGTTTCATTAGCTGAGGTTTTGTCTTGGTTGGAAAATTAAATGTTAATGAAAATATTTTTTTTCTAATTTTAATTTGCAAAATAAAAGAATCTATACACATGTGATTTTGTTATATAGTAATTTAGAAATAAAAATAAAAATAAAAATATGACTAAATTATTATATATATAGTAACAATTGCTAAAATTAACTGGATCTAAGTTTTTCTAAGTGGGTACTAGTAAAGTTGGGGAAAATAGCCTACCCATCATGACAATAAGAGCAAAAGGATTAGAACAATTATAGCTCCTAAAATTAAAGGTAAAATGCAATTGAATTGAAAAAATAATTACCTTTTCCCCCAAGGATGATGGTGTGTCGTATGCGACATTTGTCCTTGCAAAAAATTTAATGAATCTCCCAAAATTTATGCAGTTCAATATTCGTAGTTGTATTAAGGATGAGAATTCCACAATACAATATCTTTCACAAAAGCTAGAAAGGTTTTGAAGGTCTTCTATCACCAGAAAAGTCAATTGAGGAAAAATTAAAATTTTTTTTTCTTTATAATTATTAGCCACAATAATCTGTCTCATCCTTCGACATTTCTTTACTTGCAGGTGTCTAAGCTTCCACAATCCTGTTGCCATAGAAAATGAGAATAGGTATTCTAAATTGTCACAGCCATGAATGATCAACTTTGTCAATTTCTTGATACAAGATGTCATTGAATTGTGCCATATGGTATTATCAATCATAATTGAGAACAATTGCAATTCCTCTAAATTTGAAAACACAACCTGCACAACAAGTAGTTCTTTTTATGATGTAAAGGCTTATCATTTTGTTTATAAAAAAGAACAGGGATTATCTTATCTATGCGATAGTAATATAGTTATAATATCACATATATAAAATTGTAAATTTACAAATTAAATGAGAAAAAATATACAATATCACTCATGAAACATTAAATAAAAAGAATCATTTATATGATAACACATAATTACAAATTTAAAATGGCACATCATTTTAAATATATCATTGTCATATCTTATTCATCTTCATATTACCTTCTTTGTCAAAGATATTACGTTGAAATACACTTATTAAATGCACTTTTTGGTTTTTATTTTTGATAAATTAAATTTATTTAACAAATTTGTTAATTTTCTTGCACCTTCATGAAGTTTAATTACTGTATAATTTTCTATCTAATAAACTATTATATAAATACTGTACTCAATGGAAAGTAAACAATTCGACTGTATATTATTCTTCTATTGATCTAACCCCAACTCACCATAATACTCTACTATGAATAGAAAAATAGATAGAAATCTAGGTGGTAGCTTTGGAAAGAACAAAAGTGGGAAAAAAAAAATTTTAATACCTTTTCATTGAAAAAAGTCATGTTCCTGCAACTACCGTTGAAGCTAATCAGCTTTGGTAGACGTTGTAACTTCAAGGATCGCAGAGTAATTAATTCCACAATATGTCCTTCACGTTCTTCAGCACTATTCCAACTCTCTTGCTCTTTGTCATCAATAATCTCTTCCATGTCACTGCAGTGTTTCACTCTAATTTCTTGTAGTTGCTGAAGCTGTCTGGCTATAGAGGCGGAGAACAAATTCTTCAACTTGTTACAACATTCAATAGTTATCAACCTCAATTTTCTAAAAGAAGCTGCTTCCAGCGGACCATGACATATTTTCTCCATATTTTCCAAATTGCGAAGAACTAATACCTCCAATACAGGAAATGCAGGCTTCACTGAGATGATATGTTGAATCTCCAAAGCATCTTGGACAAAGAGACACTTCAATTCTTGGAAACCGTCGTTATCTAACTCATTGACTACATTTTTAACACCAATCAATCCTTCTAGATGTAGTTCATTTGTCTTCTTTAGCAACTTCCTAACTGAGTGGTGAGAACTAATTCTTGCGTCTGGCTTTAGCTTCAATAATTTTGAAACTCCCCATGAACTACTCCAGTGGTTCCACCTGTCTCCCAAGAAAACTTTGAATCTTGCCAAATTTTCAGAGAACAAGCCCCCCGGAATCTTCTGAATATTGCAAATAACATGTAGCTCTATAGAAGTCAACAACAATAAAGGCTGCAACTCTGCTAGGCTAGCATTTTGATTTTCATGCTCCTCAATGCCCTCCGCCCATTGAACAAAGCTGTTTCTCATATATAGTTCTTCTAATCCTGACAAATTTGACAAGACACCTGGTGGAATTACTTTGAGTTCGGTACAATCACTCAAATCTAACAACTTCAGATTGGTTAGCTGCCCTATTTGCTTTGGCAACTCTTTGATATCAGATCCTGCAAGGCTGAGGACTTGCAAATTCTCCAGCTCTCCCATCATTGTGCCTATACTTGCGGTTCCTAACTCAACTTGATCCAGACACAAAGTACAAAGGTTTTTTGGGGGGGAAATTAAGGAAGGGATGGACAAAAAATTCACTTTGGACAAACTCAAAACTTTGAGTCCTTCCTTATCCCTAAACAAGTTTGGTGGACTTGCTAGAGAAGGATTCTTTTCAGAAAAATGAAAGAAAGTAAGTTTCGGACATTTCAACTCATCTGGAAGCAGACTGGTGTCCCCATTTGATAAATAAATCCACTTGATGCTCTCCATCGCCTCCATGTGTGATCGGTTGATTGGTGCGTGTTCTGTTAAAGCCAACACGCCATACTCCTTAGAAACAGTCGATGTGGCAAAATCTCGAACAAGATTGTGCATATCGAAGTACAAACTGCTACCACTATCCAGCAACAAAGAAGAATCTGTGAGTTTAGTCACCGAATTTAGCAATTGAGTTCGTGCTTCCTCTATAGATTTGACTCCTGGGAATAAACCCAAGCCTATACCATATTTCAACAAGTTTTGAATGGTTGCATTCCGACCCAGTAGACTGCAAAGTAAGAAAATTTGTTGGAGTTCGTTGCTTTTCAAACCACTGCAATGCAACTCGATAGCTGAATACAGGCTTTGTGGTATCTGACTTGAATTCAGCTGATCAAAGGGCAGGCTTTGTAGCTTTCGTAAAGTAGTCTTCCACTCAATCAGATTCCTTCTTCTCAAGGCATTTGCGAGTGTCGCAACAGCAATGGGCAATTCCTTACACTTCTTTGTAATCTCCTCTGCATAAAACGGCAAACCACGACTTTTTCCTGGATCATCAGCTGTCTTCTTAAACAGATTCCATGCTTCTTCCCAGCGTAATATGTCAATTTCAAATTGTGTTTCAGATAGAAGAGATACAACATCTCTAGCTCTAGAGGTCAGCAAAAGTTTGTAGGATACAACATTGTTTCCTTCCTTCCCATTTATTCCAAGCAACTCCAAAGATAATCCTGGCTCCCATAAGTCGTCCAAAATCACGAGGACCTTCTTTTCTATAAGCCCTGTTTGTTCATTAGAAACACGTGCAATTTCATCTTGAATTCTTGGTAAGTCTGGATTCCTACCCACAGTTGCCACTAGCACTGCATCAAACAATCTCTCTTGCTCAGCTCTTCTTTTAACTTCTCTAACCATCATTGTCTTCCCCATACCAGGCTTCCCGTACACTCCTATCTTGTTGATGCCAGGACTTCGTAGTGCCTCCATGATATCCTTCAAAACACCACTTCTCGATTCAAAGTCCTCAAAACGATCAGCAGCCACTTTCTCTTGTCGGTAGGAAAGTGGGAAGTCCGAGAATCCACGAGCTTCTTGAACATGTGCAGCAATATCCTTGCATATCTGCTCCGCCTTCTTTCTAAGTTGGAAAAGAGACTTCCCACGTTTCCCAACATCTTCTACCAAATCGTGTGCTTTTTCAATGAGCTCTGATGTTTTCTTCGACCATTTCTTGAGCTCTTCAGTTTTGCTATTGGGAAAATCTTCAGTATAGCGCTTCACACTCTCTTTCTCGACCTCCAAGTCAGCAATTTGTTTCCTCAGCACCTTGATGACATTGGACTGGTCCTTGTCCGCAAACATGTTGTGATTTGCGGTGAAATATTGATCAACAATTATACAAATGAACAAAGAATGCTGCTGCTCTGTTCTTTCTAATACCCTCTGGTTTTTTTTTTTTTTTTTTTTTAAGGTTTTGAGAAATGTATAGATGATAAAACAAAGTTAACAGAGAATACAAGTGGATTGACGAGGAACAAAAGCCAAACAATCAATGGATAATGCAGTGCAGATTAGTTTGAGAGATTATGGAAGTAGGAAGTTAAGGAAGACTGAAGGGAATGACAAATTAATCAACGAGAACTGGATTTGGGAGTAGTGAAAGATGAGAGAAAAAGGATTTGATTTCATGCGTACAAATGAAAGAGGTGAAATAACACAAATGAGCAGAAAAAGCAGACTTTGTGGAAACTGAAGGACAAGAGGCAGTGCTTTAATTAATTCTGGCTCAACCTTTTATGTTCGCTGGCCTGTGTCTGAAACTCTGAATAGTTTACCGGAGGATTTTCTGTCATTTAATGACCGAACTTCTAAATCAGCCCCTCAACTTACCACATTATGGATAATTAGCCCCTTAACTTCTTTTCCTCAGGCTAATTCACTCCCCAACTAATTGATCTGGGTTAATTAGCCCTTATTTAATTGTTAATATAAGAGAACATTGGTTAGATGTTCCACTAGTGTAGTTAAAGCATCTCCAATGGGATACTCTATAACATATCACTAAAAGTCACATTATTACAATTTATATTATTTTATTTTATCTACATTTAAATAATATAATTTTTTAATTAAATGATTATTAATTTTTAAATCAATTTAAAAATTAAAATACTATTTGATTTAATGAAATTTTTCCTTAATATTTAGAGGAATTGAGAGAAACTATTTTATCAAAATGTGTTATATTTGGAGGAGAGTTAGTAGAATTCCATTTACTGTAATTGAATACAACATTATTTTTCATTGTATTTTTGTGTAAATGATGGGTGAGAAAATATTTTCAGAGTTGAGTTTCATATTTCTTAAACCATTTCAATAGTTTTCTGTTATTCATTTCATCACGTTTCTTGTGATTTCTTGTTCAATAACCATTTTTCAACAAAGATTTATATAGTTTGACACCTTAAAACATGAGTTAAAGGTATATTAATTACATTTTTTTTATTAATTTATATAAATAAATATAAAAACTAATTTTATTTTCAACACTAATAATACGTACATGATTTTAATTAAGTAATTAATAAAATTAAAATCACTTTTTATATTTTTCATAGCAATTAATAAAAAATATAAAGTTAACCTTTCCTTAACATCTACCTTTAGATAGAAATTAAAAAAACACTTCAACAAATGCTACTGGGTCAGAAAAAAATTGGGGACGTGAAAGATAAATTGGACAAGGGAGGGAAGAAGACACCATTCCACTACTGAAATTTTAATTACAAGTGAAAATTAGTACCTCGAAACTAACTCATGGAGCAAAGATGTGATATCATTTGTAGAAACTAAAACAACTGATTACGTAAGTCCATCATCAGCAACAAGTAGCTGGTTATACAAAGAAAGATAAAACTACCCCTGGAAGCAGTTTTCATCAAATTCACCATGTAGCATCAGTAATGGCTTGAAAAGTGAGTCCCAAGTCCCAGATGATTCATGAGCAACCAAACGAATGTGAAAAGTTCACCGCCCTTACTAGGTTGCTGTGCATGGACGTGTGGCCTGCAGTTCATAGCAGCAAAACACATTAAATGTACCCAAACTTTGCTCATTTGCTCCCAAGGAGTACTGTTAGACTTCTTCAGTTGTTTGGCAAGCTCAGATGCAGCAAATAACAC